TGCACAGAAAGACATAACTATATCCTGTTTAACAAGGGGCAAAGTCATGCTTTGACAAGGTTTACCCTGTTCACCTCAATTCAAGGAAAAAAAATAACACAAGTGACTACACTAAGAATGAGTAATAATTTCCAGGGTTATTCTAAAACTGTTTCAAAATTATTTCTGTAAAAAGATTAAAAATCATCAATATTCACAACATAAATCCTGAATTGCTGGAGGTTCAGAAGAAGAGTTACCTCTTGTACTTTTCTTAATAAGGAGAAATCAGTGAACTAGACTGACCAATGGAGAGCCTGAGCCAGCAGTGTTACTTGTTTGCTATATTGATCCAATTAATACCTCAGGTATTCAAGTCTAATTCAAATTATATTTGAGATATTTATGAAACAAAAGATCATAAATAAATTTCTTTTTGGCAGATGAAAAATTGATAATTTCCTCTATTTTTGATTACTGAAGAAGAGAGATACTAACTTTTTTCATTAAGGCAAAAAAAAAAGCCCCCAAATCTGTTTTTATTATCTACAGAGGACTTTTCTCTACAATCATTAAGAAAAAAAGGGTTCCTTTATCCTCTATAATAAACATTTCTCATTTTATGATTCAATATATTTTGTACTGCACTGCTAATTCTCATAATTCTTCAAATATCTTATTTTAGGGCATTAATACACTAATACATACATTAACTAATCATTAACATGATTAATTTTTTCACAGAAGTTAAGCCATATGGAACCAAATGGAACAATTTGGCCATATCATTGTATAGATAGTGCAGGTCACATTCTGCCCCACTGCACCAGTGCAACTCCACTGGCTCCACTTGCATTTGCAGGCCTAGACCAGGGGAGGAACCTGTGTTTCTCCAGAAACTGGATATATAAACATCTTTTTATTCCTTCCCAAAACAGACATAGTCCATAAAAAGGCAGGGATCAATTCATAGCTAGACTTGTCTGGATGCAACCTGCATTACATCTTCATTGCCAGAGAAGAATTTCTCCAAATACCATGGAGGGACCATGGAGGTGAAACACATCCTTTAACACAGTTTGGCAAGAATAGCAAATTTTGCTCATTATTTCTGTTAATTGTTAAATCAGTAAAATACAGAGTCATGGTATTAATCTAACAGTTGAGTAGGAGTGGCACCATAGATTCCTGCAACTTTTTGTCCCTACCAGGAGCACAGCAACCACACCAGGCAATTCACTGCTCAGAATCAGATCCTGTGGGGCTGATCCCAAGGCCCTGTGACAGCCAAATGTGTCAGCAGTCCTGTCAGTTTTACCATTAGTCTTACACACAGGTAACACCAAGGGAACTCTAGGACTGAAGGACATCCTCTGCCCTCAAAAGCACAGAAGCCTCCTTTATCCCCCTTCCCCCAGCTCACAATTTTCTTGCTCTCTCCCCCACACACTCTGTCTGTACAGTAATGAAGGATCATATTTCTCCCATCCAACCCTTCTCTTCCCGTGCCTCTCCTCTCTCCTCAGTGCTCCTGCAGTTGCTGTGGAAATAACACATTTTACTGACCCAACACCTCCTGGGCAACTGGTTCCCACAGCTGTGGTGCAAAAGGCAATTAAGATAAAACACAGCTCTGCAATGAATCACAAGCCTGAACAGATCTCAGAGGTCATCTAGTCCATTCCTCTGCCCCACGGGAGGCTCAGCTATCCCCATGTCATTTCTCACAGACATCTATGTCACCTGCTTTTAAAAACTTCAGCGATAAAAATTACTCAAGCTCCCTGGGCAATATATCCCAGTGTTTTACCACCTTTGCAAAGAAGTTCAGTCTTTCCTCACAGCTCATTTTTTCTAAGCCTCAGATATTTTTTCTCTCTTTCTTTACAATATCAGATCTTTTCTATTTTCCTCACACAAACAACTCCAATTAAAGCAGTTTGCTTCAAAAGCTACTTTTGAAAGTGATCATTGAAAAATTTGCTGTATATTGCAGCTGGAATTAAATCACCTTTTTCCATTGTGCAACCATAACATAATTTTAAAGACTTTAAATGACAAAATTATTCATGTTCTGCTTGCCTTAATGCCACATTGTAGTTGTGCACATGCAAGAGGAGAAACAGGGCCAGGTAGTCACTGTTGTCATATGTGTGCCTATAATGCCTATTATAGTGTAATAGTTACAGTATAACAACAAATCAAAAAATTGTTGAGATTTAAAAACCAATTTAATTTTCCATAGTCAAGGTAAAGCCAAATTTGTTACAGATAATCCCAATGTCAGAAAATAATGACCTATCAAAGAGATGAAATTTGACTTTGCTCAAGCAAGCAGTTTTGTTAGGAACACCTTCAGTCCACAAGCGAGAGCAGAGCAAATCAGATTTGGCTCACAGCTTTCCTATACCCCGAATTCATATGTCATCTGACTGTCTGGGCTTTTTTAAATCACTGAAAAAGTAAACCAGGTAGAGAAGTAAAGCAATGCTATAGTTAACTTACATCTTCATGATTTATTGCTGGCTTTACTTTCCTCAGTGAATAGTTACGGGAAGAAAGTACATATAAGGGTTAGAAATACCTCCTTTTGTAAATTAATGTAGTCTGCTGCATGGAATAACAAGGACAGAGAACACCACTTACCAAGACTTTAAAACTGTGAAAATGAGATAAAATTTTGATTATTCACGAACAACAAGGAAATGTAACTTCTCTAACACACTGGACACCACATAAAGCATTTCTTCATTTTAAATGATGGATTACAAAAGCCAAAGAAAAACTTGGATTGAACCCCAAAGAAGTATAACAAGGTAACACAATACTGCCTTTCTATTGTTGCTACATACTGCACTTAAAATGTCCAGGACCAAATACAAGGCCTGTACACCTTTACAGTTGAGAAGTCTTAAAGTTCTTTCAAGGAGCCAAATCTTTAAACAAAAAAAAATACAAAATCCCACAGAAGAACAAACAAAGCACATTTAAAGCAGCAGTTAAACTAATATATTCATTATGCATTTTTAACTAAGTGTATCAATGAGAAATTAAAATTCGTGATGCTCCTCTTTGAGCATCTGAAGGTCTCCTTGGAAAAATTTCACAGATAAATCCATTCCCTCATGATTTCCAAGAGCTTTTAAAAGGTGTGGCAATGTCAGAAATAACAGCTGTGAAGAATTCTATTACACCTGACAAACTCTGCATTCCCAACAAGAATTACACTAGTCAGAGATGAAAAACTAGTATTTTGCTACTGAAGATTTCAAGAACAGATGCCAACATATTTCATGATGACTTCTGATCACAGGAAAAATATAAAACAGGTCAGCATTGATATTCAAATTGTATTTTTACCCATTTCAGACAAGCCCCTCCATGTGCAATGACACAAGAACATCCAGTCCTTATGATGCAAGTATCAAGTGAAGATAAAACATTAAAAAAATCTAACACTTGTCCCAGCAGTGTCACAAAAACTACTAAAAATCTCCATCTAATTTTTAGAACAGTCATGACATATAAAAGAAGAATATGTGTTTGAAAAATCCACCATTAATTATTTTCCTCAGATCACAAAACAAGAGAGACTTGAAAATTCAATTTTTAACATTGCTGCACATCTGAAATTCACCATGTATCAAGTACACTGCAGTAATTATACTGAGCATTTTGCAGAATGCAAGGCATGAATTTACAAATTTAAACAAAGTTCCTTCAAACAGGTGACCACATCTCAAAACATAAATCATCATTCTGAAAAAAAAAAAACCCAAAACTCCAAAACAAATTTGAAAATGCACCAAAACATGAACCAGAGTGCAAAGAATGTCCTAGAGGCAAGACTAGCAAGCAATTACACCAGTCACTGGTAACAGTTACAGTATACAGCATTTTTAATTTTTCTTCTGAAAAATCTGCCTTGTGGTCCTGGCACGACAAAAATCATCCTATTGTTTTCTCCAATCTAAAACAATTCAAATCATCAATAATCAAGAGAGCATCAGCTGATCACGTTTCAGGATGCAGCATGGGAGTATTAAGTGACTGAGCATTGATCAAATGACGACAGAATCTGGAGACTGTGTCTCAAGGAGTATTGGCTGACCCTGATGTTAAGTATGTTCATATTATATAAGCCTACAGTGAGTTACTGTTTCTGCTGCTGAAAAGTGCTGTTAAAACTGCACATACAGATATATTTGCAAAGTCAAGCACCTACAAACACATTTCTCCTGTTCAATCAATCTTAAAATGGCCTACTCTTAAACCAACTTTCTGGCAAGGAAATACAGACCAGTACCTGACCCAACCATTTCATGTTCTCAAGGTAAGTTCTCTCAGCATTTAAGGTATGTCACCTGCAGGAAAATTCCTTTTTATGTAACAACCTACAAGTTACTGAATGATTCAAAATGAAGGTGCCTTTTCTTTTCTCATGTACCTCGCACAAGGAACAGAAAGCAAGCAGCATCATTTCAAAAGATGATGCTTACATATCCCTTCTAAATGCCTTCTAAATGTATACAGTTCTCTAGGGAACAATCAACTGAGCAATGTCTGTAATGCTCAGGATATAATTACCAAAACGAGATGCATAACCTTCATTACACCAGCAAACAGTTAACTTTACAGATTATTTCTCTTACTTTGGTGCTCTCAAACCTTTTTTTTATTATTATTTTTTAGTAATGAAGTGCTTCCAATCTTCTGCATTGCTGCTAGTGAGCATTCAATGCCAGGTGCTGCACACCTCACTAGCAGAAACTCATCACAATGCAAGACCTTCTCCAGCCCGTGTACTTTCATACACTGCTGTAGCATGACAGAATGTCTTCGGGATTCAGCAAATTCAGACAGATTCTGTTGCTACATCCCACAGAAAAAACGCCCTGAAATCCCCCCGTTTAAAAAGCAAAAAAAAAAAAAAGGAACAGCTTGCATCTCCAAACATGACAGTGCATTCCCAGCATAGAATATGCAATGCAAGAAGAGAAAAATGACAATATTTATGTTACCTTCAGTCACATAGTTGTGGTCTCGCAGAAAGCTGTGGTTAATTTTCCGTGTGTCCGTGTCCTCGCCCATTTACAGCAGGATTACTCAGCATGCCTATCCGCAGTGGACTGATAGCATCAGTAGAGGTCGTCACAAGAGCACCATCCATGCTGCCACTGCCTAGCAGAGGCGGGGAACACACCGGGCCACTGAGCACAGCATAATGAGGGCTATTGAGGCAGCACACATTGGGAGGGGGGCGAACAACGAGCGGGAAAAGAAAAAAAAATAGAAGAAGGAAAAAAAGGGGGAGAAAGGGAAAAAGAAGAAGGAGGGAAAGAACGGCTCCGAGAAATTACGGATGCAGAAAGCCAGCAGGGAGCTTGCGTGAAGGGAATACTTCTCGCACAGTTAAAGAATAGCCCAGTTGTGTCGCAGGTACTCCGAGCACGACTGGCCCCGCAGCGGCTGCAGCAGCGGGAGCCGCCCGCAGCCGAGCGGTGCCGAGCGGTGCCGAGCCGAGCCGAGCCGCCCGCAGCGGAGCCGAGCCGAGCGGAGCCGCCCGCAGCCGAGCCGAGCCGAGCCGTGCCGAGCCGTGCCGTGCCGTGCCGTGCCGAGCCGGGCCGCGCCGCTGTCACACGCCCGTGCTGCATCACCCTGGCCCCTCCCCGCCCGCGGCCCAACCGCACCGCATCTGCATGGAGCAAAGTGAAAAATGACACTGCAGGTAATTATTTCAGCTCCTCCGCCGCGGAGATGGGCAAGGAGAAGAGCTGAGGGAGGGGATGAGGGAGAAGAAACTTCAAGCTGATGAAAGGCGTTTGCATGGACACGTACTGCACACGGAGATGCGGCCGCGGTTTTGTGCTAGTCTCACTGACATCTGCAGCAAGAGCAACAGTCGTTCAATGTCAGCCTCTACAAATATTACCGAAACTGCCAAATATCTGCCTGTGCAAAAGGATTCGTCAGAGGCAAGGCAACCGTTCAGAGGACATAAGATAAAATAGCTGTTACTCATCTTTTTTTACCCCCAGTTTTGTAGATAAATGTAAAATTACAAAGTATTTAAGAACCACCTCTCTGGCTTCCCTGTACAGGAAAGAAAAGCTGGACAAAGGGAATGTTTGCAGGTCATTGGTTTTCTTAAACCTGCTACTCTCTCAGTTCATTATCCCATCACCTTGGAAAAGCAGTGTTGAAATGCATATATGCAGAAATATGAAAATAAGTACAAGAGGAAAATTACTCACTTGCATTATAAAAGAAAGCTTTCTCTTTATTCCAAATGCTTAATGGTTTATATTACAGCAAAATTCTTTCAAGTGAACAGACAGTTTGCTTTAGCTTTTAGTATCTATTCAAGAAACCACAAACTGTTTGCTGCAGAAAATATGTATTCAGAAAAGGTAAGCACCACTGAAGTTTAAATATTTGAAGAGAAAGCAAATGGCTGTATACCAAAACCACCACTACAGCATGATAAGAGTGTGCACAACCACAAAACCAACAGAGAGAGAATCTTGTGCTTTAGGCCCTGGAATTGAATATGGAAAGTACAATTCAGTTTTCACCATTACTACAGTATTTTGTGTAACACTGGATCAATTTTTATCTTTTTTTTTTGTATTTGTTTTTCTTTCTTTCTAATGACCTCGGACATACAGTTCTTGAAGGAAAATTCAAGTACCCTGCTATTCCTACAAACTGGCACGTGACTTTGAAAAAAGTAGAGAACTACATAAAAACCTGCTCAGGAATAAACATCTAATTTCAGGATTAAGCAAGGCTGGGAGGGAAAGAAGAATAGCAACAGAATGACCTTCATCTTTTTCTCAGTAATAAAGCAAAACAAAGCAGAACCATCTCCAGCCTAACAATATTGTAAAACCTTCGCATTTGAGCAGGTGGGAAAGTAAGAGAAGTTATTCTGTACTTGCACCTGTACAGAACACATTTTACAATACTAGGAATGTTATTTCTGCATTTAGAGCATCAGTCACTACTGTGGCAGTACTCACCGCTCTCCAGTATCTGCCCTGTCCTCCTCAGAACAGAGGAAGGAAGCCTTGCAAATGCTGATCTTTAGTTTGGACAACATGGTTCTAATCTATGTGATGATTTATTTTGCCCTTCCCTGACACATTATGTTCTTACCTTGGATTTGTTTCTCCAAAGGCAAAGGGGTCTATGAGCATAACACAGTGCACACAAAATCCCAACTCTGCCAAAGTCCTTGGCAAAGAGTGCAACAGTTTACTCTCAACTATTTAATAGTTACACCAGTCTGGGTCAAGAAGTCACCTCCCTTCAGCATCTCTGCAAACTGCCTGCCCTTCAACAAGTCTGTCCAGATCCCTTTGGAAAGCCGCCCTGCCCTGCAGCAAATCAAAGCCTCCAGTGGAGACCAGCTGCCAGCTAGCTCTAACTCCATTTACCACCAGTCCCTGGGCTCAGCCATCCAGCCGGTTTTTACCCAGCAAAGAACACACCCATCCATGCAAAGAGCTGCCAGTTTCTCCAGGAGAATGTTGTGGCAAACTGTGTCAAAGGCTTTACTAAAGTTCATGTAAGCAACATCCACAGCCTTTCCCTCACCCAGCAAGGTCCCTTCACCACAGAATGAGATGAGCTGGGCCAAGCAGGACCTGCCTTTCATGAACCTGGGCTGGCTGGGTGTGATCCTGTACGTGCTGCTTGATGTTGCTCAGGACAATCTGCTCCGTGACCTTCCTTGGCACTGAGGTCAGGCTGACAGGCCTCTAGTTCCCTGAACCCATTTGATAGATGGGTTCTATCACACTTCACACCTGCTGCCCTCCAGGCAGTTGGGACCCACTCCTCCCTGTTACCAGGGCTGCTGGTGGATGATGGAAGGCGCCTCAGTGAGCACCCTCACCAGCTCCCTCAGATCCCTCAGATCCCTCAGGATCCCATAGATTTGTGTGTGTCTCAGTGGTGTAGCAGGGCACTGATCATTTCCCCTTAGATTATGGTGGCTCCATCCTGCTCCCCATCCTTATCTTTCAGCTCAAGGGACTGGGTACCCACAAACAATTTGCCTTGCTCTTAAAGACTGAGGCAAAGAAGGCATTAGGCACTTCATCTATTTCCTCATTCTTTGTCACTATTATTTCCCCCTGCATCCAATATGGAATGGAGGTTCTCCTTAGCCTTCCTTTTGTCCCTGATGTATGACAGAGCATGGATTCCCTTGTGAAGGTAACACTGAGAAGCTTCCTCCTATTACTGTAATGATTCCTAAAACTGAAAGAAATGTCACCCTGCAGGGCATTTGATCCCAAAAATCAAGCAGCATATTTGAGTAAAAATGCATAGGAACTACTTCTATCTTCAAATACACAGAAAATGAGCATGTGTTCTGTCCTTTCTGAGAAAAAGAATCACATGGAAAGATTATTATTGAAAATAAATAGATAATATATTATGCAAATGATGAGTACAACATCAAAAAAGTCCCACTGACAGTCTGTAAAAAAAAATACTGGAACCATTTTCTTTGTAAATATCTCTACATTTATGTGATCAAGGTGGTTGAGAAAATTCTGGCTTTCTTGTTGCTCCTGCTCTTCCAGGAAAACTCACTAATAACTTTTATTTGTCCTCAATCACTTCAAACATTACTATTTCTATGGTCTGTTATTTACAGCCTACACTGGTTATTTTTTAGGTGTAATTTAAGCAGATAGAGGTGTTTTCATTTTTCCTAGGAGCAAAGTGGACATTTTTTTGTGAAGTCAAAATTGTAACTTCCATCCAGAGATAATTTTCTCTACTCACCATTGGAGAGGTTCATGGACAACTTCCTTACACATCACATCTGGGTCAAATCACATTTACCTGGTTCTTCTTATTTTTAAGTTAAAAACAATCTCATAAAGAGGAATGGAATGAGGAGGAAGCCTTTAACAAAAACCCTAGACAATATCCCCAGTGTGCATGCAAATGCCTTCCCTAAGATTATGAGCCAAATCCTTACTGTGTGGCAAATATTAGCACTCCACTGACTTAAGTAGGTCAGTTCACATGAGAAAGATTAGCAAAACTCTGCTCTAAATTTGTAGCACAATGCAAATTTGTGAGCCAACATTTGCAGATAACTAGCTGTGCCATTTTAAAATGCTACTTATTATCAATCCCACCTATAACCTACATAATTTGATCTGGTCAAATACCCAGGGAGAAGGTGGTGAGGAAGGAAGCTTTAATCAAAAGTGTATCAGTTATTTGGAATTTCATAATAGTCCACAATGCTACTCATAAAACAACCCTCTAATTGAACTAAATACAGTACAAACAGAGAAATAACAGTGTCCTATACGAAAGAATTTATAAGTAAACTATAAAATAGAAGAGCTACATGCAGATCAGCAGTGACATTTAGGTAAACAGGGAGTCAGTAATGAGGATGGAGTCCTGGTTTAGAGCTTTCTTCAAAAGAAGGTCATTAGAGACTGTGCAAAAAAGCAATAAACTGGATTCAAGAGGCTGAAAAATAACTGCATAACAAGAATAAAACAAGCTTAGACATAAAAGGAGGAGAACTGGCCAGCAGGTCAAGTAGGAAAGTAAAAGGCAAGAGCAGGCATGACACAGATGCCAATACAGACTGTGGGTGTCAGTAAAAGAAGAGTTAAACAGCAAAACAAACAAAAATGGATCTGTGCCAGAAGGAGAAAAATCTCATAGGACAGGGAAAGAAAATATTTAAAGAGAGGAATAAACCTACATTTCCCTTTGTTGTTTTGGGCAGAAGAATCAGAGAAAGGGGAAGGTAGAAGGGAAAAACAAAACAAAAAAAGTCAACCAACCAACCAACCAACAAAAAAAAAAACACCTGAAACAAACAAACAAACAAAAAATGAAAACAAAAAAAAACCCCAGAAATGGAAGCCAGAGGTAGCCAGTACCCCGAGGTAGAAATCAAAAACTATTTATGATACAAATGGAGCTGAGAAGGTAAGGATTGGAAACAGTGTGGTCTAACAGTAAAGAATTGAAGAAGACGAGAACAAATCTTTGGCTGAATGACTGTTGATCATGTTTGCTCATTGCATTTCCAGCAGGAAGCTCTGCAGCAGAAGAGAGGGAGGAATGAGGCATTAGAAGGCAATTTGTCTTAAAGGTTACTGTGTAATCCTGTTTATAAACACCTGTTGAATATGGCCATCCTGCTTTGCTCCTGCAGAACATTTATGTTCTTCTCTTAAACACATTTTCTTGAAGAGCCTCTGTTTAGCTTTGTCAGACACTAAGAGCACAACCTTTAGTAACTATTAATATCTGAAATAAAACATCATCAGGTACTCCAAGTCTCCATTTTACCCCTGAATTACTCCATTTTACCCCCAAATTCATCACTCCATCTGAATTAGAATAATTAAGCTTGAACTGCAATTGAAAAAAATAGTAGTGGAATAATTAAGTATTTTCTTCATCTAACAGTGGCTTTAAAAGAAATGAAACTGAATTTTCAATTGGCACAGAACTTTAATTATTTGTAAAGCACAAGAGATTTAAAGAC